CCTGCGCCCGCACCGCCAGCGTGAACTCGCGGCACTGCTCGTAGTCCAAGGAGCGCTGCGCGTACAGCGCGCCGCTCCGCGCCTCCACCGACACGAGCGGCGCCGCGCCCGCCGCGCCCGCGCTGCCGCCCGCCAGCCAGTAGCTCACGCGCCCGTTGGCGCCCGCGTCCGCGTCCCGCGCCTGCACGCGCAGCACCAGCGCGCCCGCCGCGTTGTTCTCCGCCACGTACGCGCTGTACGCCGCCTCCTCGAACACCGGCGCGTTGTCGTTCACGTCCGACACCTCCAGCACCAGCTCCCTGCTGCTCCACAGCGCCGGCCTGCCCCGGTCCCGGGCCACCACCGTCACGCGGTGCTCGGACGCCTGCTCTCGGTCCAGCGCGCCCGATGTCACCACCTTGTACGAGCCGCCCGAGGACGCCACGATCGACAGCGGCGCCTCTCCCGACAGCTCGCACGACACCTGACCGTTCTCGCCCGAGTCCGGGTCGTCCACGTTCAGCAGGGCCACCACGGTGCCCACCGCTACGTCCTCAGGCACTGGGCTCGACAGTGAAAGAATCGTGATTTCGGGCGTGTTGTCGTTCTCGTCCGTGATGTCGATTTGCACTTCACAGTGATCGGTGAGCCCCCCACCGTCCGTCGCCTCCAAGCCAAAAACGTATTTTTTTTCCTTCTCGAAATCGAGTGGACCCACAGTTCTGATCTCTCCACTCTCGCTCTCAATAGCGAACAATGAGAGCACGTTGTCTGGGACGTTGCTGAAGGAGTAGGAAACTCGCCCATTTGAGCCCAAGTCCGCATCCGTGGCCCGCACCCGCAGCACTGAAGACCCCACCGGCAAATTCTCTGCCACTCGCGCCTCGTAGAGGCTTTTGCTGAACACAGGGGGGTTGTCATTTGCGTCTGTCACGTTGATGCGAACTAGGACAGTCCCAGATCTCGCCGGTTCCCCGCCGTCCACTGCTGTCAGCAGCAGCTCAAAGGAACTCTGCTTCTCCCTGTCCAAAGCTCTCTCCAGTACTAATTCCGGCTGCTTCTTTCCACCCGGCTTTTCTTTCACTGACAGTGAGAAGGACGGGTCGCTCGTGAGTTGGTAAGTCAGCAGCGAGTTGCTTCCTAAGTCCGCATCTCGTGCCATTTCCAAAGGAAAACGAGCACCGGGAAGCGTCCATTCACCGATCTCGAGCTCCAGAGCAGCGTTGCTAAAAAGTGGGGAGTTGTCATTCACGTCCTCAATGGACACCTCGACATGGAAAATGTTTAGCGGGTTCTTCACCACCACCTCGAAGCTGACGGAGCAGGTCGGCGACGCGCCGCACCTCTCCTCCCGGTCCAGCCTCTCGTTCACGTACAGGTTCCCGTTCTCCTCACTCACCGTGAAGTATTGCAGCTGCTTCTTGCCGGCAGACGCCACCTGCAGCTTGCGCGCCGGCAGCTCGTCCGCGCTGAGCCCCAGGTCCCGCGCCAGCGGCCCCACGAGCGAGCCTCTGCCCAGCTCCTCGGGGATGGCGTAGCGGAGCCGCTCGGCCGCCGCCCGGCAGCACACGCACAGCAGCACCGCGGCCAGCAGCGCTCGCCCGCCGCCCGGCCCGCGCCTCTGCCGCCGCCTCACCGCCATTCTCTGCCGCCGGCGCTCGCCGCGCTCCTGCCTCCTGCCGCTGCCCCGCTTCCCTTCCAGCCGCTCTCGCCACGCAGCGCAGGGGCCGCCGCAGCGCAGCCAGCCCGCTCGGGCCGCCTCTCCCCGCCGCCGCTGCTGCTGCCGGTGGCGGTGCCGCTGCCGCTGCGGCCGGCGCCGGGCGAGCGAGCAGCCTGCGGGGGCAGGACGCTGCGGCGGCGGCGGCGGCGGCTCCAGCGCCGCTCGGCGGCGGCCAACAGCGGCACCCGGAGGCGCCGCCGCGCCACTGCAGCCGCCGCATGGCCGCGCTCAAGGGGGCCCGGCCCGGCCCGGGCGGGGCTCGGCGGCTGCACCGGGCCCGCGCTCCCGCCGCCACTGCGAACAGCCAGCGCTGAAGCTCTTCCTTAATTCGGCACCCAGGCCTTTCTATCTGAGATGTGCTGTCGGGTGATTTTAGAACATTCTTTTGAGTCACATTCAACAGTCAGAAGCAAATATTCATGGCAGGGCAGTAAAGAATAGAATTCAGCTGCATTTCACGTCTCATTTACACGAGCAATAAACGGCAATATAGAGAAGACTTAAGGAGATTTTTCTACATTTCCACAAATTTTCCTTTCATTATTTGGGATTAATTGATGTGAGATATATATCAGCCTAAAGCGATGTAAGAAACCCCTATGCCAAGATACCAGAATCACATTTACTCTTTTCTTTCTGACTCATCAAAGTTGCTTCATCTGCATCTCCATATCTGAGCACCTGACAATGGAAAATGCAAAGCAATACTCAGTCCTCCATCGAGCCAAATGATGTTCTCAGTTTCCCGGTGAATCTTTTATCAACGCTAATTTAATCCAGAAATCCGCCATGACCAGGAACACTTTCTGCTAAACTTTAACGTTGGAGGCAAATCGAAAACTTCTCTGGGTAATAACTTCCATTTTCGCACAACCCACACTGAAAAGCTTTTTCCTAATCCAAACCTCCCTTCATTTAGTTGAAAACAATAGTCTCCTGTCCTATGACCACTGGCCATAAAAAAAAACTCCAACCACATCTTTTCTATCAGTTCATTCAAATATAGAGGGAAATACCTTCAAAAGCCTACACAGAGCTATCATTCTCTATGCTTGAAACCATCAACTCCTTCAGTCCTTCTCCATTGCAGAAATATTACAACACTAAGTCCACATCCATGATCATTCTGGCGACTCTAACATGTCCATTTGGGATATTGGCCCAAGATCTGCATGCAGTCTATGCTCTCACAAAAAGAGTTTAGAGGGAGGGAAGGACCTCCATTGACGTGTTGGGCAAAGTGCTTGTGATGCAGTGCAGGACACCATTTGAGCAGCAGGTGCCCATTGGCAGCTCACATCCCATCTTATCACCCACCAATGACCCAAAGTGCTTCTCTGCAAAGCTCTTCCCTATCCCTGACCCTCTCTTTAAACTGGGGATTGCCCCACCCCGGCTGCAGGACCTTGCACTTTGTTCCACTTCATGAGGGTTGCAAGGGGCCTCTTCTCCAGCCTATCCCTCACTGGCATCTCTGCCCTCCCTGAATCAACTCCAATTGCTGCCAGCTGCACATGGGCTGAAGCTGCACTCAATGCACTGTCCATGAAGGCACTGAACAGAACTGGGCCCGGTCAGGACCCTTCAGGGACAGCACAAGTCACTGCTTTCCACCGGGACATTGAGCCACTGTCTGTAGCTCTTTGGAGGTGACTCTCCAGCCTGTTCCTCAGCCACTTAACAGCCTCCAGATGATTGCCCAGCACGTTCCTCTGGGTGATGGCCTGGGGGACACTGCACATGTTCTCCCACTGGGCCCTGGTCTGCTCATGGAAGTCTTGGCTGGGCTGGGTGGCTGCTCTGCACTTTGACAGCTGCAGCCAACATGCTTCTGCATTTTACAACACAGACAAAGTGTTCCTGGGTGAGCACAGCAGGAGTCCTTATGAAACCCTTCCTCTGTACAGCTGAAAACATCACAGGTGTGTGTGGGAACTGCAGCTGCACTCGGGCAGCTGGGACAGAGGAGACCTTCCACATAAGGTCAGACATGCTGAGGCTGAGCTCATGACAACAAACTCTGCAGGAGTTAGAAGAATATGGAAATGTACAGATGCAATAACATTTTGTGGGCCTCCCTTGCTCTACAGAAGCAACTGAAATCACACAGGACTCCATCAGGCACAGGCTGGTGTTGGCTATGACATGTGACAAGGAAGGGAATGACCGAGTTCTTCTCTAGCCTCACACACAGAGCTCCCCTCTCTGGTTTTTCCTCCACACCATGCCACTGGAAGGTTTTGCTTGTGCCCATCTCCTCATGAGTCAAATCTGTCAGGAGATGATAATGCACTTCAGCCACACCCAGAAGGGAGGTACAATTGTCTGCTCAGCACCATTATGATAAGGAACTGAAGGATTCTACAGCACACAAATTATAAACAACCACACTAAAAGATCAGCAGTCACCCAACAAAGAACGGCTCATTAAACCATTGGCCTCAAGGGAATCTCCTCCCCATCTTTATCACATTCTGTGTTCCACAGAGATGCAACATCTACTCAAGTCATATTTACATCTATTGCTCTCAGCAGGAACAGAACACAAAGTCTCTCCCATATTTCATTCCTTCCACTGGAGGCAGAGCAAGGGACTCCCACTGGAACAACAGCAAGGGACACTAATACGCCGTATGTGGTTCATAAAAGATACCTTCTTGATAATTCAAAATATACCCCCATACTGCGTAAATCAAGGAAAAATAAAACGAAACAAAAAACCAAAACAAAACAAAAAAAACCCACAAAACATGAAACAGATAAGGTAAGTAAGGATTAGAAGATAACAAGTAGCCACAGAGGTTCAGAGTGAACACTTCTAGACCAACATTGAAGGCCCTAAAATTCATCCCTGAGGGCACCTGGAAGTCACTCAGGTCTCAAACAGCACCTTTGACCCTAAAGACTTACAGAGAACAGCAGGATAGGGGGGTTCATTTGAAGACTCAGTCCTCAGCTCAACAACATTTTCTATTGCATGGCCTGCTCACCTTGCACAGTTATGAAACCATCATTTCAAACAGCTTCTCATCAGCCTCTTTTCTCAAGGTAAATATTCTGACAAATTACAACAGATTCTCTTATTCCTTCTGCTTCTTATTCCCCACGCACTGTTCAGTCTTTAGTGGCTGAAGTAAGGATGTGCTGAAATACATCACTCACTGTTTCATGTTTAAAAGTACTGACCAAAATTTTGAAAATGAGCTGCAACCTTCTTGGAAACAAAGGCCTGAAAGAAAGGGTAATTACAGCTCCAGGGAATCTCTATATCGAATTGTGGCATAAAGATACAGATGGATAATGGCGGTTTCACACAGGAATCATTGGCAGTTCTAGCCAAGAATTAAGGTTCTACAGGAACAGTTACCATGGAAAGTGTTATTGTTGGAGGACTGTCATTGCCTTTCATGACAGAGAAACCAGGAGCAGAACAGCAATGGCACTGCCTTTGGCACCAAGCATGAAATCAAACCATTTCCCAACCAAACCCACACTGAGTCATCGATTTCCTGACACAGAACTGAGCTCTCACCCTCCTCATTCACAGATTTAGTTTCACCATCAACATATACCAGCATTTTGGTTCCATGTTGGCCACAGAGAAATCCAGCACCTTGGCGAAACATCCATTTATGAAGTTGTGTTTCTTTAATGAAATATTCAAGGTCAGGCTGAGCAACCTGCCCTGGTGGAAGATGTCCCTATCCAAGGCAGAGGAGCGTGAACCAGAGGATGTTTAAGGTCCTTTGCAACACAAACCATCCTCTGGTTCTGTGTTTCCAGGATTCTCTGAAAACATGTACAGCTTCAAGAGATGGATGAGAGATACTCTCCATGCGGGATAATTTTGTTTTTGAGTTTGCAGGATTGCCAGGCACAATGAGGATTAACTTTTCTCCTAGAAAAAAATACGAACAAACAAACAAACAACCCAGACCAAACCAAACCAAGCATGCTGAAAGCCTTAATCAACCCAGCCAAGAATAGGAAAATGCCACAAGAGAATCAATCATGGCCTCACACTGCAGATTGGGTCATTTTCAGTCCATACACAACACAGCAAACTGGACTGTAATTAATACACAGGAGGTCTCACACAGGAGCTCACCACATAGGCCCCACACTGTCAATTCCTTGCACAGTAAGAGAAAGGAAAAGCTTGGAAACACAACTCTGGGCCTCATCTGACTGCTAGGACAAACAGAACTGGACACAATTCATTCATTCATTTTGAACTAGATCCCAGTGAACTCCAGCACCGGCCTTGTCTCTGGACAGACAGACTTCTTCTCTCTGTCCAAACATAACATGGAAACAAATCTTGCATACAGACATCATTAGAATAGAGGTTGTGTGCACAGCTTCTAAGATCTCAAGCATCAAAACTTTAGTTATTTGGTTCCTCCCAATTATTTGAACAAGTGGAAAATGTTATATAAGCCATAAATTTTTATCAGCTCCGTCAAAGACCCACACATCCAAGTATCACCTCAAAGGTGACATCACCATTCCTCAGATCATGGACTCCTCTCAAAATGCAAATGAATGTGGAACCCAAACAAGGCCTCTTGCTGCAAAGGAATATGTAACCCAAACCTGGCCATATCGGTCCAAACTACACCATAAGACTCCTCCTGACTCATTTCAGAACACCAGCAATAGCCCTGAGGATCAACAAAACCCATGTCATATCTCCACTAGGACTTCCTCACACACCACACCCCCAACATTACCTCCTAACCCTTCACGGCTCCCATGCTTATCACAGATCTGCAGAATTTAGACAGACTAAAACCAAGAGGAATGTTGCTCAGACAGTATCTCCTTACTATGGATAATATTTGACTTCCCACCCTAGCCATGGGACAAGAAAAAGATTTTTAAAGAGACATTTTCAAGAAACATGTCTATGGAAATTTCTCTCCTTTCACCTATAAACATGAAAGAAACATCTTCAGATCATCAGAAGAAGGAGACACAAAGTTAACACCTGCAGAATTTAAGAGATCACAATTCGCTTCTGGGTTATATAACTCAGAGTAGGTCATTAATGACCTTGTTTATAGGCACTGAATACACAGCCTGCACTTCCCATATGGCATCTGTGACAAGTACAAAATTAAGCTTAGAAGTAACACAATTATGATGACATGCAAACACTATAGGAAGAAGCTCCCAGGGTTCTCCATGCAGCTGGAATACAGATCTTCTAGACAATTATTTTGGGAAGAAGAACCCCACATTGCTTCATCCTAGAGATAGGAACGGGACTGGGAATGGAGGAAAACATTCCCTTGAGTCTTTCAGCAGACATTCACGCACGGCTCACAGCACTCACATTTCCAACCCTTCACACTATCCATGGTGTCCTTTCACCCATATACCTTTAAAACATGTGACAGCAGAGGTCCAGCTCCCCAGGCCATCCTTCCTCCCACCACCAATTCCACACAGCTATCTGTGCATGTCTGTGCTGTGGAAGCTGCATTTGCCTGCTGGCTGAAGTCCTGTGAAGAGACTTCATAGGTCTCAAAGGAAAAGCTGAGCTTTCTTTCAAGGCATACTGAGTCCATGAGTATCAGCTCACAGGGAATTATGCCCACCTTGTCTGTCCCACTGCACCTTGAATCTCCCCCTTCCCATCCAGGCAATTCTCTTGACATGCTGAATATTTTCTAGCCAAGGCTCATCCAGCTCCATTTGATATATCTCTATATTACAAAATTAGAAAAAACCAAAGCAGTTCTGCCATTTCCTCCTCCACATGCAGCCCCCACAGACTTTTCAAAGAATCACAACTTCAAGAAGATCCTTCATCTCCGTAACAAGCAGACACTAATCATCAAGAACCACTTGTTACCCAGTCCAATCCTTTGCTGAGAACAAATATTAAAGTATGGATGACACAAACACTTCCTGCTGAGCTCCACTATGTATCATGGAGAGCGACAAAGGCTGAAACCAATGTGCAGAGAGGTTCCACACAAAGCCATCAGCATCTTGTTCAAGACACATTCAACCTATCTAAGGACATGTGCTTTTGGGAAGACAGGTTAACCTCCTAAAAAATTGTATTTCTTAATGACGTGATCCATCCCGTCAGAAGATCTAATGCCAGCAGGAACGCAGATTCTACAGAGCACAGGTGATACAGGGGAACAACATCTGGAACCTGATCAATACCCAAACCTCTGACTAACCAACATCCTCCCAGGAGCAGCCTTCTCCCTCCTGCCTTCTCCACCCCATGTTCACATGACAACGCAATGGGATCCTTCATTCAGAACTTAACTGAAGGAAACTTTACCGTGCTTTTAAGCAAAATGTAGGATGGAAATCAGAGAACAAGGCGCGGAAAGCGCAGGGGAGCACCAAGAGAAAGAGTCGCGGGGAAAATCTGGAGACAGAAACTCACCGAGGGAGGGGCGGGATGGGCGGGGAGGGCGCCGGCAGGATCCTCGTCGCCGAGCAACGGCGCGGGCTCGTCGGGCGGCGGCCGGGCCGGGAGGGTGTCGCAGCAGCTGCCGGCCGAGAAGCGCAGCTGGCTCTTGCGCGAGTCGGCCGTGAGCGACACCTCGTGCGAGTAGGACTGGAGGAAGGCGCGCACGCCGTCGATGCCCACGAAGTGCGACACGGGCACGCCGCGCAGGGCGCCGCTGTCCGCCGGCAGCAGCTGCTGGCGGCGCCAGCGGCGCAGGCGCAGCGCCAGCAGCAGCAGCAGGAAGGCCACGAAGAGGCACGACACGGCGGCCACGGCCAGCACGAGCCAGCGCGTCAGGCTGGCGGCCGGCTCGCCCGGCGCCGCCGCCTCGGCGGCCGCGCTGCCCAGCTCGGCCAGCAGCTCGGCCACGCTCTCGGCCAGCACCACGCTCAGCGTGGCCGTGGCCGACAGCGCCGGCCGCCCGTGGTCCTTCACCAGCACCACCAGGCTCTGGCGCGCCGCGTCGCGGGCCAGCGGCGAGCGCGCCGTGCGCACCTCGCCGCTGTGCAGCCCCACGCGGAACAGCCCCGGCTCCGTGGCCTTGGCCAGCTCGTACGACAGCCACGCGTTCTGCCCCGCGTCCGCGTCCACCGCCACCACCTTGGCCACCAGCGCGCCGGCCTCCGACCAGCGCGGCGCCAGCTCCACGCCCGACCACGCAGCGCCCGAGCCCGCCGCTAAAGCCGGCGGCGGGTACAGCACCTGCGGCGCGTTGTCGTTCTCGTCCACGATCTGCAGCCGCACCGACACGTTGCTGCCCAGCGCCGGCGCGCCGCCGTCCTCCGCACGCACCCACAGCTGCAGCTCGCGCAGCTGCTCGTAGTCGAAGGAGCGCAGCGCGTACAGCGCGCCCGTCTCCGCCTGCACCGACACGTACGACGACAGCGCCGCGCCCCGCACCCGCCCCTCCGCCAGCCGGTACCGCACGCGCGCGTTCTGCCCCCAGTCCGCGTCCGTGGCGCGCACCCTCAGCACCAGCGCGCCCGCCGCGTTGTTCTCCGACAGCCGCGCGCTGTAGCGCTCCTCCGCGAACACCGGCGCGTTGTCGTTCACGTCCAGCACCCGCAGCGCCAGCACCGCGCTGCTCTGCAGCGGCGGCGACCCGCCGTCGGCAGCCCGCACCGTCACGTTGTACTCCGACACCTGCTCCCGGTCCAGCTCTCTCGCTGTCACCACACTGTAATAATTGCCCTGCGAGCTTTGAAGCCGGAACGGGACGTCCTTGTCGAGGGAGCACCGCACCTCACCGTTCGCGCCCGCGTCTCGATCAAATACGTGCAGCAGGGCTACCACCGTCCCCGACGGGGCATCCTCTGAGATCTCAGTCAATGCCGATGATACTGTCAGTTCAGGTGCGTTGTCGTTGACATCTGTCACAGAGATCGTGACCTTGGCAGCATCGAATAACTCTCCACCATCTTGTGCCTGCACCTCCATTTCAAGTGAAGAAATTTCTTCGAAGTCCAAGTTCTCTTTAAGGGTTATTTCTCCTGTGTTTGATTTAAGATCAAAAAGTTCGGATGCCTTTTCTGAAATTCTATGAAAACTGTATTTAACATGTCCGTTTGGCCCCTCGTCATCGTCGGTGGCCGTGACGGTGACGAGGACAGTGCCCACGGGCACGTCCTCGGGCACACGCACCGTGTACTCCGCCTGGCTGAACACGGGCGCGTTGTCGTTCACGTCCACCACGGTTACACGGATCCGAGCCGTGCCCGTCCGTGCCGGATCGCCGCCGTCCATCGCCCTCAGCACCAGCTCGTGAAACGCCGCCTCCTCCCGGTCCAGCGCCTTCGCCAGCACCAGCTCGGGACGCTGATCGCCGCCGGGGCCCGCCTGCACGGCCAGCGAGAAGTGCTCGTCGCCGCTCAGCTCGTAGCTCTGCAGGGAATTCCGGCCCGAGTCAGAATCATGAGCGTCGGGCAGGGGAAACCGCGACCCCGGGGCTGTCATCTCGCTAATTCTCTGTTCCAGTTCCTTCTTCTTGAAGGTGGGTTCGTTGTCGTTAATGTCCATGATTTCCACTTCGATTTCATAGAATTTCATTTCTCCTTCCACTATCAGCTCACAGCGCAGCACGCATTTCTCCACCAGCCGGCAAATCTGCTCTCTGTCGATCCTCTCTGCCGTCACTAAGTGTCCTGTCTTCCCGTGCAAGGCGAAATACTGGGTCCGACCTCTTTCGATAATGCGAACGCCGCGGTCTCGGATAGTCGCGAGCTGCAGCCCAAGGTCCTTGACCACGTCGCCCACGAATGAGCCCTTGGGCATCTCCTCGGGCACGGAGTAGCGCAGCTGCCCCCACGCCGCCTCCCACGCTGCCAGCAGCACGGCCCAGAGCAGAGCTCGCTGCCGCCGGCCCCAGCGCCTCCCCGATGCACACATCGCCACCGAAGAGGCACCCCTCTTGCCGCCTGCTGCTCCGGTATCCGCGCCTGCTGAGGTTTCCTACAGGACTCTCCGCTCACCGGCCCCTGTCCTAGCCTCCTCCGTTTCTCGTCTGCACGTATCCGCACTGTGAGACCGATCGCAAAATTGCCGAGCTGCCGACCCAGCAATCCGCCGAGCGAGTGACAGAGCCGATCCGCAGCGGGCGGGGCTGCAGCGCTCCGAGCTCCCGCTCGCTCCTCTCGGTCAACAGCGGCGCCCGCAGCCTCCTCCTGGCACTGCACGCACCGAGCGCTGCCGAGCGCTGCCCGCTCTGCCCACGGGCAGATCGCGGGGAAGGGACAGTGGCCTCGGAGTCGTGGGGTCCCGTCCTGCCTCGACTTTTCTACAGCCGATCTTTTATTCGTTCACCCAGGTCATCTCTAGACACATTTAATACATCTTTCTGGCATTGTTTATTTCTGCCACACCGAAAAACCTTTAACAAATGTGATCAAATGTATTCTGCGAATATGGCATTCACAGTACTGCTAATATTTCTTCCGTAGACCCCGAAGCTCATTATCCTTCCTGCAACTGCACAGCTTTTTAGAAAAGTCCATCTTCAAGGACTTTCTCTTTGCCCATTTGGCAGGTTTAAACAGCGCTATGTATGATTAGAAATAATTATGAACAGTCAAAATATTCTCTCCCCGCATTCAACAGTATTAGGACTACACTAAGAATTTGGACCGAGAAGCATATCCCCGGCTGCTCAAGCACCCTGACTTCACTCCATTCTCCAGATCACTTTGGAAGTGATCCTCACACCTTTACACACTACAGGCTGCAGTTATGCCTGGTTCTCCTTTGGAAAGTACCTCAGAAAAAGGGAGCAATGAGCTATAAAATAATAGAATCATCAGCGTCAAAAAATACCTCCCATGTGATCAAAGTCCATGCTTTCTGGCCAGGGGGAAAATTTCAGAACAGTAAAAAAAAAACAAAACTTAACGAAATACTAAAACATGCCTAAAATAAAGGCTTCAGGTTGTATGATAAGGAATGGAGAAATAAAAACAAAAAAATATTTTGAAATACACTGAACAAGGTTTTGGAGTTGCTTTCTGTGAATTTAGGGTTTTTTGTTTTTGGTTTTTTTTTTGTACTTTATTTTCTTTGTTTAAGCATTTTGGATCATTTTGTTTGTTTCTTTTATTTTTTCAAATCCTCAATTACCCTGTCCGACTGGGGTAACTGTCTCTGTGGCATTATTTTCTCAAAAGATATTAGAACACATGACAGAAGCATAAATTCCGTTCTGGGAGCTACATACAAATTTCCTTTGGTATTCCAATATGAAAACTACATTTAGCATCTGCTTTTTTTCCCTAGTTACCTATCAGACTCAGGTATATTGCACAGAGCAACAACAATCAAAAAAAGTAACGATGTTTCTTAAACTCTAAACCATTGACGACAACAGCAGAAAGCTAAGAAGAATTTGTCACAGAAACTTAGTAGAAGTTACAGTTGAAGAGAAATAAGAGTTTCACCACATCTTAAGAAGAAGGAAGTTCCATATCTCTTGGGCTACCGCCAAAATAGACACGGGACATAAGCATTTCACGCTTAATGGAAATACGAAACGGCAATAAACGCCGCAACAAAGACCTAAACTAAAGAGCGTCCTGCTACCACCACGTCCATGTAAAATGGCTCACAGAAAAAAAGCGTGCGAAATTACAAACCTGAGGTGCATCGGGATTAGCAGGCGGCTCTTCGGTCAGGGCGCTGCTGCTGGGATTCGGCTTCTCGCAGGAATCCCCGCCCAGAAGCTCCTCCGCCGACAGGACGGGCACCGGCGGCGGCGGCGGCCAAGCGGCCTCGGGCACGGCGCGGGCCGGCGCCGCCACGCACAGGTTGTAGGAGTAGGGCAAGGTGCCCTCGCAGAAGTCGGCCGGGAAGGCGGCGCCGGCCACCGAGAAGCGCTGCGCGCCCAGGCAGCGCAGCACGGCGGGCGGCCCGGCCCGGCGCAGCCGCGCCAGCACGGCCAGCGCCACGCTCAGCACCAAGAGCGCCGAGAGCAGCGCCAGCGCCAGCACCAGGTAGAACTGCAGCTCGGCCGCCGCCGCCGCCTCCTCGGCGCCCGCCGCCCGCTCGCTCAGCTCCGGCAGCGCCTCCTGCAAGCTCTCGGCCAGCACCACGTGCAGCGTGGCCGTGGCCGACAGCGCCGGCTGCCCGTGGTCCTTCACCACGGCCACCACTCGCTGCTTGGCCGCGTCCCGCTCGGACACGGCCCGCGCCGTGCGCACCTCGCCGCTGTGCAGCCCCACGCGGAACAGCGCCGGCTCCGACGCCTGCACCAGCTCGTACGACAGCCACGCGTTGCGCCCCGCGTCCGCGTCCACCGCCACCACCTTGGCCACCAGGTAGCCGGCCTCGGCCGAACGCGGCACCACCTCGAAAGGAGGCGGCGCCCCTGCCGCAGCCTCGCCCGCCGCCGCCGCCGCCGCCGCCGGCCACAGCACCCGGGGCGCGTTGTCGTTGCGGTCCAGCACGAAGACGCGCACCGTGGCCGTGGAGCTGCGCGCCGGCGAGCCGCCGTCCTGCGCCCGCACCGCCAGCGTGAACTCGCGGCACTGCTCGTAGTCCAAGGAGCGCTGCGCGTACAGCGCGCCGCTCCGCGCCTCCACCGACACGAGCGGCGCCGCGCCCGCCGCGCCCGCGCTGCCGCCCGCCAGCCAGTAGCTCACGCGCCCGTTGGCGCCCGCGTCCGCGTCCCGCGCCTGCACGCGCAGCACCAGCGCGCCCGCCGCGTTGTTCTCCGCCACGTACGCGCTGTACGCCGCCTCCTCGAACACCGGCGCGTTGTCGTTCACGTCCGACACCTCCAGCACCAGCTCCCTGCTGCTCCACAGCGCCGGCCTGCCCCGGTCCCGGGCCACCACCGTCACGCGGTGCTCGGACGCCTGCTCTCGGTCCAGCGCGCCCGCCGTCACCACCTTGTACGAGCCGCCCGAGGACGCCACGATCGACAGCGGCGCCTCTCCCGACAGCTCGCACGACACCTGACCGTTCTCGCCTGAGTCTCTGTCTTTCACTTTCAGCAGGGCTACCACAGTACCGGCAGGCGCGTCCTCGGGCACCGGGCTTGACAGTGAAAGAATCGTGATTTCAGGCGTGTTGTCGTTCTCGTCCGTGATGTCGATTTGCACTTCACAGTGATCGGTGAGCCCCCCACCGTCTGTCGCCTCCAAGCCAAAAACGTATTTTTTTCCTCCTCGAAATCGAGTGGACCCACTGTTCTGATCTCTCCACTCTCGCTCTCAATAGCGAACAATGAGAGCACGTTGTCTGGGACGTTGCTGAAGGAGTAGGAAACTCGCCCATTTGAGCCCAAGTCCGCATCCGTGGCCCGCACCCGCAGCACTGAAGACCCCACCGGCAAATTCTCTGCCACTCGCGCCTCGTAGAGGCTTTTGCTGAACACGGGTGGGTTGTCGTTGGCGTCAGTAACGTTTATGCGAACCAGGACAGTCCCGGATCTCGCCGGTTCCCCGCCGTCCACTGCTGTCAGCAGCAGCTCAAAGGAACTCTGCTTCTCCCTGTCCAAAGCTTTCTCCAGTACTAATTCCGGCTGCTTCTTTCCACCCGGCTTTTCTTTCACTGACAGTGAGAAGGACGGGTCGCTCGTGAGTTGGTAAGTCAGCAGCGAGTTACTTCCAGCGTCCTCATCTCGGGCCATCTCCAAAGGAAAACGAGCTCCGGGAAGCGTCCATTCACCGATCTCGAGCTCCAGAGCAGCCTTGCTAAAAAGTGGGGAGTTGTCATTCACGTCCTCAATGGACACCTCGACTTGGAAAACATTCAGCGGGTTGTGCACCAGCACCTCAAAGCTGACCGAGCAGGTCGGCGACGCGCCGCACATCTGCTCCCGGTCCAGCCTCTCGTTCACGTACAGGTTCCCGTTCTCCTCACTCACCGTGAAGTATTGCTTCTCCTCGCTCAGCCGCAGCTTGCGCGCCGGCAGCTCGTCCGCGCTGAGCCCCAGGTCCCGCGCCAGCGGCCCCACGAGCGAGCCTCTGCCCAGCTCCTCGGGGATGGCGTAGCGGAGCCGCTCGGCCGCCGCCCGGCAGCACACGCACAGCAGCACCGCGGCCAGCAGCGCTCGCCCGCCGCCCGGCCCGCGCCTCTGCCGCCGCCTCACCGCCATTCTCTGCCGCCGGCGCTCGCCGCGCTCCTGCCTCCTGCCGCTGCCCCGCTTCCCTTCCAGCCGCTCTCGCCACGCAGCGCAGGGGCCGCCGCAGCGCAGCCAGCCCGCTCGGGCCGCCTCTCCCCGCCGCCGCCGCCGCCGCTGCTGCTGCCGGTGCGGTGCCGCTGCCGCTGCGGCCGGCGCCGGGCGAGCGAGCAGCCTGCGGGGGCAGGACGCTGCGGCGGCGGCGGCGGCGGCTCCAGCGCCGCTCGGCGGCGGCCAACAGCGGCACCCGGAGGCGCCGCCGCGCCACTGCAGCCGCCGCATGGCCGCGCTCAAGGGGGCCCGGCCCGGCCCGGGCGGGGCTCGGCGGCTGCACCGGCCCCGGGCTCCCGCCGCCACTGCGAACTGCCAGCGCTGAAGCTCTTCCTTAATTCGGCACCCAGGCCTTTCTATCTGAGATGTGCTGTCGGGTGATTTTAGAGCATTCTTTTGAGTCACATTCAACATTCAGAAGCAAATATTCATGGCAGGGCAGTAAAGAATGGAATTCAGCTCCTCTTAATAAAATCAAGGCCCATTTACAACAGCGATAAATGATAATATAGGAAAGACTTCAAGAACTTTTTCGCTCTTTATCACATGTCTTGCATTATCCTTTCATGATCTGGGTTTAATTGATTTGAGATCTACATGAGCCTAAAGCAATGTAAGCAACCCCTATGCCAAGATAGTAGTATCACATTTACTCTTTTGTTTCTGACTCATCAAAGTTGCTTCATCTGCATCTCCATATCTGAGCACCTGACAGTGCAAAATGCAAAGCTACATTGAGGCTTCATAGAGCAAAACAATGTCCTCAGTTTCCAATTTAGACTTTTATACATGGTAATTTAATCCAGACCTCTGCCATAAGCAGGAATACTTTCTGCTAGACTTCAATGTTGGAGGCATATCCAAAAATTCTCTGATCAATATCTTCCATTTTCGCACAACCCATACTGAAAAGATTTCTCCTAATCCAAGCCTCCCTTCATTAACTGAAGAAGATTAGTCTGCTGTCCTATGACCACTGGCCCTAAAAAAAAAAGGTCACGACATATTTTCTATGAGTTTCTTTGTATATAGAGAGAAATGTGTTCAAAAGCCTACACAGAGCTATCATTCTCAATGCTTGAAACAATAAACTCCTTCAGTCCTTCCCCACTGCAGAAATATTACAACACTCAGGCCACTTCCATGATCCTTCTGGGGACTCTAACATGTCCATTTGGGATATTGGCCCAAGATCTGCATGCAGTCTGTGCTCTCACAAAAAGAGTTTAGAGGGAGGGAAGGACCTCCCTTGACGTGTTGGGCAGAGTGTTTGTGATGCAGTGCAGGGCATCATTTAGCAGCAGGTGCCCATTGGCAGCTCACATCCCATCTTATCACCCACCAATGACCCAAAGTGCTTCTCTGCAGAGCTCTTCCCTACCCCTGACCCTCTCTTTAAACTGGGGATGGCCCCACCCTGGCTGCAGGGACCTTGCACTTTGTTCCACTTCATGAGGTTGCAAGGGGCCTCTTCTCCAGCCTATCCCTCATTGGCATCTCTGCCCTCCCTGAATCAACTCCAATTGCTGCCAGCTGCACATGGGCTGAAGCTGCACTCAATGCACTGTCCATGAAGGCACTGAACAGAACTGGGCCCGGTCAGGACCCTTCAGGGACAGCACAAGTCACTGCTTTCCACCGGGACATTGAGCCACTGTCTGTAGCTCTTTGGAGGTGACTCTCCAGCCTGTTTCTTCAGCCATCTAAAAGCCTCCAGATGTTTGCCCAGCACATTCCTCTGGGTGACTGCCTAGGGGACACTGCACACGTTCTCCCACTGGGCCCTGGTCTGCTCATGGAAGTCTTGGCTGGGCTGGCTGGCTGCTCTGCACTTTGACAGCTGCAGCCAACATGCTTCTGCATTTTACAACACAGACAAATGTTCCTGGGTGAGCACAGCAGGAGTGCTTATGAAACCCTTCCTCTGTACAGCTGAAAACATCACAGGTGTGTGTGGGAACTGCAGCTGCACTCGGGCAGCTGGGACAGAGGAGACCTTCCACATAACGTCAGACACGCTCAGGGCAAGCTCATGACAACAAACTCTGCAAGAGTTAGAAGAATATGGAAATGTACAGATAAAGTACTAGTTTCTATGCCTCCCTTGCTCTACAGAAGCAACTCAATCACACAGGACTCCATCAGGCACAGGCTGGTGTTGGCTATGACATGTGACAAGCAAGGGAATGATTGAGTTCTTCTCTGGCCTCACACACAGAGCTCCCCTGCCTGCTTATTGTTCCACACCATGCCACTGGAAGGTTTTGCTTGTGCCCATCTCCTCATGAGTCAAATCTGTCAGGAGATGATAATGCACTTCAGCCACACCCAGAAGGGAGGTACAATTGTCTGCTCACCACCATTATGATAAGGAACTGAAGGATTCTACAGCACACAAATTATAAACAACCACACTAAAAGTTCAGCAGTCACCCAATAAAGAACGGCTCATTAAACCATTGGCCTCAAGGGAATCTCCTCCCCATCTTTATCACATTCTGTGTTCCACAGAGCTGCAACATCTACTAAAGTCATATTTACATCTATTGCTCCCAACAGGAACAGAACACAAAGTCTCTCCCATATTTCATTCCTTCCACTGGAGGCAGAGCAAGGGACTCCCACTGGAACAAGAGCAAGGGACATTAATACACCATATTGGTTCAGAAAAGATACCTTCTTGATAATTCAAAATATACCCCCATACTGGTAAATCAAGGAAAACCATACATGAAACAAAAAAACCCCACAAAAAAACCCCAAAAAACCTAAATAAACCCACAAAACATGAAACAGATAAGGTAAGTAAGCATTAGAAGATAACAAGTAGTCAGAGACGCTCGCAGTGAAGTCTTCTAGGCCTTCATTGCAGGCCTTAAAATTCATCCCTGAGGGCACCTGGAAGTCACTCAGGTCTCAAACTGCAACTTTGACCCTAAAGACTTACACAGAACAGCAGAATAGGGGGGTTCATTTGAAGAATCAGTCCTCAGCTCAGCATCTTTTTCTACTGCGTACCCTGCTCAGCTTGGACAGTTATGAAACCATCATTTCAAACAGCTTCTCATCAGCCTCTTTCTCAAGGTAAATCTTCTGACAAATTACGACAGATTCTCTATTCCTTCTGCTTCCTATTCCCCACACACCGTTCAGTCTTAAGTGGCTGAAGTAAGGATGTGCTGAAATACATCAGTCACTGTTTCATGTTTAAAAGTACTGACCAGAATTGTGAAAATGAGCTGCAACCTTCCTGGAAACAATGGCCTGAAAGAAAGGGTAAGTACAACTCCAGGGGATCTCTATATCAAATTGTGGCATAAAGATACAGATGGATAATGGAGGTTTCACACAGGATTCATTGGCAGTTCTAGCCAAGAATTAAGGTTCTACAGGAACAGTTACCATGGAAAGTGTTATTGTTGGAGGACTGTCATTGCCTTTCATGACAGAGAAACCAGGAGCAGAACAGCAATGGCACTGCCTTTAGCACCAAGCATGAAATCAAACCATTTCCCAACCAAACCCACAGTGAGTAATTGATTTCCTGGCACAGAACTGAGCTCTCACTCTCCTCATTCACAGATTTAGTTTCACCATCAACATATACCAGCATTTTGGTTCCATGTTGGCCACAGAGAAATCCAGCACCTTGGGGAAACATCCATTTATGAAGTTGTGTTTCTTGAATGAAATATTCAAGTCAGGCTTAGCAACCTGCCCTGGTGGAAGATGTCCCTGCCACGGCAGAGGAACGTGAACCAGAGGATCTTTAAGGTCCTTTGCAACACAAACCATCCTCTGGTTCTGTGTTTCCAGGAATGTCTGAATACATGTACAGCTTCAAGAGATGGATGAGAGATACTCTCCATGTGGGATAATTTTGTTTTTGAGTTTGCAGGATTGCCAGGCACAATGAGGATCAACTTTACTCCTAGAAAAAAATATGAACAAATAAACAAACAACCCAGACCAAACCAAAGCAAGCATGCTGAAAGCCTTAATCAACCTAGCCAAGAATGGTAAAATGCCAGAAGAGAATCCATCATGGCCTCACACTGCAGATTGGGTCATTTGCAGTCCATACACAACACAGCAAACCGGACTGTAACTAATACACAGGAGGCCTCACACAAGAGCTCACCACATAGGCCCCACACTGTCAATTCCTTGCACAGTAAGAGAAAGGAAAAGCTTGGAAACACAACTCTGGGCCTCATCTGACTGCTAGGACAAACAGCACTGGACACAATCCATTCATTCATTTTGAACTAGATCCCAGTGAACTCCAGCACCAGCCCTGTCTCTGGACAGACAGACTTCTTCTCTCTGTCCAAACATAACATGTAAACAAACCTTGCAAACAGACATCATTAGAATAGAGGTTGTGTGCACAGCCTCTAACATCCCAAGCATCAAAACTTTAGTTATTTGGTTCCTCCCAATTATTTGAACAAGTGGAAAATGTTATATAAACCATAAATTTTTATCAGCTCTGTCAAAGACCCACACATCCAAGTATCACCTCAAAGGTGACATCACCATTCATCAGCATATGTACTCCTCAGAAGACACAAAGGAATATGGAACCCCAAACAAGGCCTCTTGATGCAAAGTAATATGGAACCCAAACTAGGCCATTTCAGTCCAAACCACACCATTGAACATCATAAGACTCCTCCTGGCTCATTTCAGAACACCAGCAATAGCCCTGAGGATCAACAAAACACATGCCATGTCTCCACCAGGACCTCCACATATACCACACCCCCAACACTCCATCCTAACCCTTCACAGCTCCCATGGTTAGCACAGATCTGCAGAATTTAGAGAGACTCCCCCAAGAGGAAAGTTGCTCAGATAGTATCTCCTTACTATGGATAATATTTGACTTCTCACCCTAGTCATGGGACAAGAAAAAGCATTTTTACAGAGACATTTTCAAGAAACTTGTCTATGGAAATCTCTCTCCTTTCACCTATAAACATGAAAGAAACATCTTCAGATCATCAGAAGGAGACACAAAGTTAACACCTGCAGAATTGAAGAGCTCAAAACTCGCTTCTGGGTTATATAACTTCGTGTAGATTATTAATGATGTATTTTATAGGCACTAAATACACAGCCTGCACTTCCCATATGGCATCTGTCACAAGTACAAAATTAAGCTTAGAAGTAACACAATTATGATGACATGCAAACAATATAGGAAGAAGCTCCCAGGGTTCTCCATGCAGCTGGAATACAGATCTTCTAGACAATTATTTTAGGAAGAAGAAACACACATCCTAGAGATAGGAACTGGACAGGGAATGGAGGAAAACATTCCCTTGAGTCTTTCATCAGACATTCACGCACGGCTCACAGCACTCACATTTCCAACCCTTCACACCATCCGTGGTGTCCTTTCACCCATATATCTTTAAAACGTGACAGCAGAGGCCCAGCTCCCCAGACCAGCCTTCTTCCCACCACCAATTCCACACAGCTATCTGTGCATCTCTGTGCTGTGGAAGCTGCATTTGCCTGCTGGCCAAAGTCCTGTGACGAGATTTCATAGGTCTCAAAGGAAAAGCTGAGCTGTCTTCCAAGGTACACTGAGCCAGTGAGTCTCAGCTCATGGGCAATTATGCCCACCTTGTCTGTCCCACTGCACCTTGAATCTCTCCCTTCCCATCCAGTCAATTCTCTTGCCATGTTAAATATATTCTACCAAAGGCTCACCCAGCTCTATCTCATTTGGCTCTATCTTGAAAAATAAGAAATAAACAAAGCAGTTCTGCCATTTCCCCCACCACATGCAGCTCCCACGGCTTTTTCAAAGAATCACAACCTCAAGAGCATCCTTCATCTCCGTAACAAGCAGACACACATCAAGGACCACTTGTGGCCCGGTCCGATCCTTTGCTGAGGACAAAGATTAACGGATGGATGACACAAACACTTTCTGCTGACCTCCACTATGCATTATGGAGAGTGATAAAAACTGAGAACAAAGGTTCCACACAAAGCCATCAGCATCTTGTTCAAGACACATTCAACCTATTCAAGGACGAGTGCTCGTGGGAAGACAGGTTAACCTCCTAAAAAGTAGTATTTCTTAATAACCTGATCCATCGCTTCAGAAGATCTAATGCCAGAAGGAACACACATTCTACAGAGCACAGCTGATACAGGGGTACAACACCTGGAACCTGATCAATACCCAAACCTCTGACTAACCAACATCCTCCCAGGAGCAGCCTTCTCCCTCCTGCCTTCTCCACTCCATGTTCACATGACAACCGCAATGGGATCCCTGCATTCAGAGCTTTCACTGAAGGAAACTTTACCGTGCTTTTAAGCAAAATACATGATAGGAGCTAGAGAACAAGGCGCGGAAACCGTAAGGGAGTATCAGGAGAAAGAGTCGTGGAGAAAATCTGGAGACAGAAACTCACCGAGGGAGGGGCGGGATGGGCGGGGAGGGCGCCGGCAGGATCCTCGTCGCCGAGCAGCGGCGCGGGCTCGTCGGGCGGCGGCCGGGCCGGGAGGGTGTCGCAGCAGCTGCCGGCCGAGAAGCGCAGCTGGCTCTTGCGCGAGTCGGCCGTGAGCGACACCTCGTGCGAGTAGGACTGGAGGAAGGCGCGCACGCCGTCGATGCCCACGAAGTGCGACACGGGCACGCCGCGCAGGGCGCCGCTGTCCGCCGGCAGCAGCTGCTGGCGGCGCCAGCGGCGCAGGCGCAGCGCCAGCAGCAGCAGCAGGAAGGCCACGAAGAGGCACGACACGGCGGCCACGGCCAGCACGAGCCAGCGCGTCAGGCTGGCGGCCGGCTCGCCCGGCGCCGCCGCCTCGGCGGCCGCGCTGCCCAGCTCGGCCAGCAGCTCGGCCACGCTCTCGGCCAGCACCACGCTCAGCGTGGCCGTGGCCGACAGCGCCGGCCGCCCGTGGTCCTTCACCAGCACCACCAGGCTCTGGCGCGCCGCGTCGCGGGCCAGCGGCGAGCGCGCCGTGCGCACCTCGCCGCTGTGCAGCCCCACGCGGAACAGCCCCGGCTCCGTGGCCTTGGCCAGCTCGTACGACAGCCACGCGTTCTGCCCCGCGTCCGCGTCCACCGCCACCACCTTGGCCACCAGCGCGCCGGCCTCCGACCAGCGCGGCGCCAGCTCCACGCCCGACCACGCAGCGCCCGAGCCCGCCGCTAAAGCCGGCGGCGGGTACAGCACCTGCGGCGCGTTGTCGTTCTCGTCCACGATCTGCAGCCGCACCGACACGTTGCTGCCCAGCGCCGGCGCGCCGCCGTCCTCCGCACGCACCCACAGCTGCAGCTCGCGCAGCTGCTCGTAGTCGAAGGAGCGCAGCGCGTACAGCGCGCCCGTCTCCGCCTGCACCGACACGTACGACGACAGCGCCGCGCCCCGCACCCGCCCCTCCGCCAGCCGGTACCGCACGCGCGCGTTCTGCCCCCAGTCCGCGTCCGTGGCGCGCACCCTCAGCACCAGCGCGCCCGCCGCGTTGTTCTCCGACAGCCGCGCGCTGTAGCGCTCCTCCGCGAACACCGGCGCGTTGTCGTTCACGTCCAGCACCCGCAGCGCCAGTACCGCGCTGCTCTGCAGCGCCGGCGACCCGCCGTCGGCAGCGCGAACCGTCACGTTGTACTCCGACACCTGCTCCCGGTCCAGCTCTCTCGCTGTCACCACACGGTAGTAGTCTTCATAGGATTTCTCCAGTCGGAATGGGACGTCCCCATCGAGCGAGCAGCGCACCTCCCCATTCGTCCCCGAGTCCCGATCCTGCCATGGAGCAGAGCTACCACGGTCCCAGGCGGGGCATCCTCAGAGATCTCATTTAGCCTCGATGAAACTGCGAGTACAGGCATATTGTCGTTCACATCTGTCAAAGTAATCACAACATTCGTCGTGTCAAAAAGGCCCCCACCATCATGTGCCTGCACCTCCAGCTCATAGGAGTCGCCTTCCTCGAAGTCCAGGTTCTGCAAAACCGTGATCGCTCCTAACTCGGCATCCAGCTGGAAGATCTGCGAGGCTTTCTCTGTGATTTCTTCAACGAGTATTTCACGTGTCCATTCGACCCCTCGTCGGCGTCCGTAGCTGTTACGGTGACGAGAACGGATCCCACGGGCACGTCCTCGGGCACACGCACCGTGTACTCCGCCTGGCTGAACACGGGCGCGTTGTCGTTCGCGTCCAGCACCGTCACGCGGATCCGAGCCGTGCCCGTCCGTGCCGGATCGCCGCCGTCCATCGCCCTCAGCACCAGCTCGTGAAACGCCGCCTCCTCCCGGTCCAGCGCCTTCGCCAGCACCAGCTCGGGACGCTGATCGCCGCCGGGGCCCGCCTGCACGGCCAGCGAGAAGTGCTCGTCACCGCTCAGCTCGTAGCTCTGCAGGGAATTCCGGCCCGAGTCAGGATCATGAGCGTCGGGCAGGGGAAACCGCGACCCCAGGGCTGTCGTTTCGATCATTTTTAGCTCTGTCTCTGCCTCTCGAAAGCTGGGTGCATTGTCGTTAATGTCTGTGATCTCCACTTGTATTCCGTAAACCTGCATCTGTCCTTCTACTATGAGTTCACAGCGCAGCACGCATTGCTGCACACGCTCACACAGCTGCTCTCTGTCGATCCTCTCCGCCGTCACTAAATGTCCCGTCTTCCCGTGCAAAGCGAAATACTGCGTCCTACCTTTGTCCATTATGTAGACGCTGCGACCTCGGAGCTCCTGCAGCTGCAGCCCCAGGTCCTTGGCCACGTCCCCCACGAATGAGCCCTTGGGCATCTCCTCGGGCACGGAGTAGCGCAGCTGCCCCCACGCCGCCTCCCACGCTGCAGCAGCACGGCCCCAGCAGAGCTCGCTGCCGCCGGCCCCAGCGCCTCCCCGCCGAGCACATCTCAGCCGCAGCACTGAAACACCGCCGTTCCTCTCGCTGCTCCCGGATGCTGTCGCCGGCCTTTCTTCCTCCCTGCAGAACGGTTCGGTACCGCGGGGACGCTCGCAGACCGCCCAGCCGCCGATCCTGATACCGAGTGAGCGAGAGACCGAGCGAACCGGTTCGCAGCGGGCGGGGCTGCAGCGCTCCGAGCTCCCGCTCGCTCCTCTCGGTCAACAGCGGCGCCCGCAGCCTCCTCCCGGCACTGCACGCACCGAGCGCTGCCGAGCGCTGCCCGCTCTGCCCACGGGCAGCTCGCGGGGACGGGATATTTGCCACGGAGACAATTTTCCCGTGCAGCGGTGACCCCCTGCACCGCCTTTTCTCCAGCCGATCTCTGCTTTGGTCCTTCAGGGGATCACCATCGGGAGGAATGTCGAGGCATTCCGTGGGAGTGTTGATTCAACCGCAGGAGGTACTAATAACTTACTAATAGCAATATATATATATAAGCATATTTTTTCCCATTTCAAGCTCTAGATTACCATTAGTCTTACCCTGTTTGTTCAAAAACCTCTTCAGCAACGGGGACTGAGATTGAAAACATTAGATACACGCCCACACATACCGATAACCTGAGCTATCAGGTTCATTAACATAAGCGGGACAAGAACAATTGCATGGTTCTTGAACTCAGGGAGTGAATTGTTATATGATTATTACAGGTAGAAATAAAGATGTAGCTAATATTCTCAAAGGAAAACTTGACGGAATCAAGATGCAAATGTTTGAATGTCAGTTAAATTTAGTGTTTCCTTACTTTTTACACATTTATACCGCATCAAGTAATTGTATAGCCAGGAAAAAAAAAAAGGGGGGGGGGAATTTATCAAGAATCAATCTGCAAAGCATTGAAGTGTAATTAAAAAGTATATCAGGAAAATGATTTTTAATCATATTGGTACAACATTACCAAGGAAAGAATTGTAGAACAGTGGAAGAAAAGTATAGCTGCCCACTCAAAACTCTGCTGACTCATGAAAAATATACAAATAAGTTTGATTCAAGTGCCTGAACTGTCATTCGACTGACCTCCTTGATACTGTCAGATAATCCTATTTCAGATATCTGTTCTTGTAAAGAGTCAGAATTTATAAACCTACTGTTCTCCAAATCCGATATCTCCATAAATCTGAAACACTTAGGGTAAATAAGAAAGGAAAAATAAAGCATCTGAAGCAAGTCTTTCTGAACCTTGAACTCTGTATGAAATAAATATCATGAAGAGTAAAACAGAGAGCTGCCAGCCAGGATGCAAAAGGGAAGACAGCCCAATACTGCATTATGCCCCAAAATGAGCGACAGTCTTTTTCTTCACTCAGGATGCAGAACATAACATTCTACACACTTTTCCTTTAGTGAGTCCAATAGGCAAAAAAACACCCCCAAACAAAACAGAAAAACACAACTATTCATAAACGGATTTGTATAAAGCTATAAACCAGTTTCAAAAGCACACTTTCTGAACAAAATCAGGAAAGAAAATATCTACAACATCATTTGTCATTGTCTTTTTTTTCCTCTCCAACTCCACCGCGCAGAATCAATGAATCTCCGACACGGTATAAAACCAGGTTCAATGCTGGAAATGCATTTTAATTTAAATACTACGAGTTATGAAGACAAAACGTCTTCCATTGAATCGCACTCTGTTACAAAGGAAGAACCAGGCGCTACCTCTAGCCTCCTGCTCTCCATGGAATGAGGATACCCCTCTCCTTAATTCAGTTTCTTCATTACTATCCTTAATTAATGGAGACAGATGTGTGCCTCCCACAACGATGTAACCATAGAAAACAGGGGAACACTGCTACAAGATAGAGAGTTACAGTCTAAGAATCTCAGCTGAAATGGAACCTACTACCAAGGAGAGATCAAAACCTTCCACAACCTTCCGTGCCTACATGGAGACACCAATGTCTTTTCGTAGACACCTTACGGAGAAAATCAGGAGGGAAAGGACGGTGATAGAAAAGCCTCAATAACAGAACAAGTGCGCAGCATTACAGACCTGCCGTGCGTCAGGATCGGCGAGGGGCTCTCCCTTCAGGGCGTTGCTGCTCGGGCTCGGCTTCTCGCAGGAATCCCCGCCCAGAAGCTCCTCCGCCGACAGGACGGGCACCGGCGGCGGCGGCGGCCAAGCGGCCTCGGGCACGGCGCGGGCCGGCGCCGCCACGCACAGGTTGTAGGAGTAGGGCAAGGTGCCCTCGCAGAAGTCGGCCGGGAAGGCGGCGCCGGCCACCGAGAAGCGCTGCGCGCCCAGGCAGCGCAGCACGGCGGGCGGCCCGGCCCGGCGCAGCCGCGCCAGCACGGCCAGCGCCACGCTCAGCACCAAGAGCGCCGAGAGCAGCGCCAGCGCCAGCACCAGGTAGAACTGCAGCTCGGCCGCCGCCGCCGCCTCGGCGCCCGCCGCCCGCTCGCTCAGCTCCGGCAGCGCCTCCTGCAAGCTCTCGGCCAGCACCACGTGCAGCGTGGCCGTGGCCGACAGCGCCGGCTGCCCGTGGTCCTTCACCACGGCCACCACTCGCTGCTTGGCCGCGTCCCGCTCGGACACGGCCCGCGCCGTGCGCACCTCGCCGCTGTGCAGCCCCACGCGGAACAGCGCCGGCTCCGAGGCCTGCACCAGCTCGTCGACAGCCACGCGTTGCGCCCCGCGTCCGCGTCCACCGCCAACCACCTTGGCCACCAGGTAGCCGGCCTCGCCGAACGCGGCACCACCTCGAAAGGAGGCGGCGCCCTGCCGCCGCCTCGCCCGCCGCCGCCGCGCCGCCGCCGGCCACAGCACCCGGGGCGCGTTGTCGTTTGCGGTCCAGCACGAAGACGCGCACCGTGGCCGTGGAGCTGCGCGCCGGCGAGGCCGCCGTCCTGCGCCCGCACCGCCAGCGTGAACTCGCGGCACTGCTCGTAGTCCAAGGAGCGCTGCGCGTACAGCGCGCCGCTCCGCGCCTCCACCGACACGAGCGGCGCGCGCCCGCCGCGCCCGCGCTGCCGCCCGCCAGCCAGTAGCTCACGGCGCCCAGTTGGCGCCCGCGTCCGCGTCCCGCGCCTGCACGCGCAGCACCAGCGCGCCCGCCGCGTTTGTTCTCCGCCACGTACGCGCTGTACGCCGCCTCCTCGAACACCGGCGCGTTGTCGTTCACGTCCGACACCTCCAGCACCAGCTCCCTGCTGCTCCACAGCGCCGGCCTGCCCCGGTCCCGGGCCACCCACCGTCACGCGGTGCTCGGACGCCTGCTCTCGGTCCAGCGTGCCTGATGTCACCACCTTGTACAAGCCGCCCGAGGACGCCACGATCGACAGCGGCGCCTCTCCCGACAGCTCGCACGACACCTGACCGTTCTCGCCCGAATCTCTGTCCCTCACTTTCAGCACTGGCCACTACCGTGCCCAACAGAGCGTCCTCGGGCACTGGGCTCGAGAGCGACAGAACTGTGATTTCAGGAGGATTGTCATTTTACGTCCAGCACCTCCACCTCCACCTTGGAGTGTGCCACCAAACCCCCTCCATCCCTCGGCCTCCCACAGCCAGGCTAAAGGAGCGCGTGTCCTCGAAGTCCAAGGCCTCCTGCAGTGTTACAGACCCACTCTCTGCATCAACCACGAACTTCCGAAGTGCCTTGGCCGGTATTTTCCCAAAGCCGTAGGTGATACGGGCGTTGGTGCCGGCATCGGCATCTGAGGCTGACAGGTTCAGTACCGCCGATCCTGGCGGTACGTCCTCGGGCAGGGTCACGCGGTACCGGTCCTGTGCAAATACGGGTGGGTTGTCGTTGGCATCCGTCACATTGACCCAAATTTGGACAGTCCCGGACCTCACGGGATCGCCGGCATCAACTGCCGTCAGCACCAGCTCAAAGGAGCTCTGCTTCTCCCGGTCCAACGCTCTCTCCAGAACTAATTCCAGTTTGCTTCCGTCCGGGCTGTCCTTCACGGCCAGGGAGAAGGACGGGTTGCTGGACAGCTGATAAGTCAGCAGGGAGTTGCTGCCCACGTCAGCATCATGTGCCATTTCCAGCGGAAACCGAGCACCAGGAGGGATCAATTCACCGATCTCGAGATCCAGAACAGCTTTGCTAAAGGCCGGGGAATTGTCGTTCACGTCCTCAATGGACACCTCAACGTGGAAAATGTTCAGCGGGTTGTGCACCACCACCTCGAAGCTGACGGAACAGGTCGCCGACTCTCCGCACATCTCCTCCCGGTCCAGCCTCTCGTTCACGTACAGGTTCCCGTTCTCCTCACTCACCGTGAAGTATTGCTTCTCCTCGCTCAGCCGCAGCTTGCGCGCCGGCAGCTCGTCCGCGCTGAGCCCCAGGTCCCGCGCCAGCGGCCCCACGAGCGAGCCTCTGCCCAGCTCCTCGGGGATGGCGTAGCGGAGCCGCTCGGCCGCCGCCCGGCAGCACACGCACAGCAGCACCGCGGGCCAGCAGCGCTCGCCCGCCGCCCGGCCCGCGCCTCTGCCGCCGCCTCACCGCCATTCTCTGCCGCCGGCGCTCGCCGCGCTCCTGCCTCCTGCCGCTGCCCCGCTTCCCTTCCAGCCGCTCTCGCCACGCAGCGCAGGGGCCGCCGCAGCGCAGCCAGCCCGCTCGGGCCGCCTCTCCCCGCCGCCGCCGCCGCCGCTGCTGCTGCCGGTGGCGGTGCCGCTGCCGCTGCGGCCGGCGCCGGGCGAGCGAGCAGCCTGCGGGGGCAGGACGCTGCGGCGGCGGCGGCGGCGGCTCCAGCGCCGCTCGGCGGCGGCCAACAGCGGCACCCGGA